CAAAACAGGCAGCCATTAAAGAACTGTTCGCTTTAAGAAGCTGTTCCAATACGTTCGAATGATTTCGTGCACTACATTGTAACTGATTTACAATGTCAAGCCATTAAGACGCTAGCAACGTGTGGAAAATAAAACTGCTATCGTGCATAAGCTATACGAAGAAGACAAAAATCTAGAAGAAGAAAATCCGAAAGAGAATCCGCATAGGGAAACTTTATCCAATTTATATCGGGCCAGACGACATTTGGATATTTTCACATTTACATTGCACAAACGTCTTATTTTAACGTCTTATTCCCATATTTCGCTTTTATTCGACATATACATGAATGATGAAGGCATATCGAATGCAATGTTAATGTCTGTAAAAGTGCAATGACAGATTATGATCGTTCCTGTCCATAGAAACTGCAAAGAAAATGGGCGAGTTACTAATATTGTCATATAGGCGCTATCATTCTTCCGTCTAACATGTTTCAAAGAAAATAAATATTTTGCATAAAGATTTTTAATTATAATTTTTCAATAGATTCATTCAAATGAGCAATCTTTTTTTCACTTTAATTTATTAAGAAAAGAGAAAGAGAGAGAGAGGGAGAGAGAGAAAGAAAATTATAAAATGTAGAAATAATATAAAAAGAAAAGTAATGGATATTTGCTTCTAATATTCCAATTCGTTTTTCAGTTAAATTTCGTAATATAGGGCGAGCAACATTAGTACGTATCTAATATTTTTATTAAAGTCGACGCAATGTAACATTCGTAGACATCATGTTCGCGCGGGAAGACAGTAGAAAATGAAAGCAATTTTAACAGAGGGAGGAAAATCAATGGAAGTGGTAGGATAAAGGAAGAAGGTTCAAAGGGATGCACTTTGTTCTGCTGAAGCAATTCAAGGAGGATGTTTATTTAAATTTTCAGGTAATTTACATCCACTTGCCGCACCGTATCACTTTTCTTCTTCTTCCATTCCATTCGGATGCACTTTTATTGAATTCAGGAAATTTGTATTCACGTCCCGTCAAAAGATTTCTTAATAGAAATAAATAAATTGCACTAGCGTAACTGCCTTAAAAACAGTTACACGAGCAGAAATAAAATACAAGATTTTGTGAAAAATAATAAAATAATAATATTTAATATTTCTTTTCAAGGTGAAGAAATATAATATAAGTTATACAATACCAATTCACATCTTCTGAGAATACGTAAAAAACCCTTTTATTTGATATTTTCAGTATATATTGTAATATATGCTATATACTTATATATTAAAATTCAACACAGTTCGAATTCCAATAAATAATTTCCATGTTACGACGAATAAGTTAAGCGGAAAATCAAATCGCGAGCTCTTGAATAAATTTATTTAAGGATAAAAGGAAACGAAGACGAAAGTGAGTCCGTTTCCTTCTCTTTTGGTTGGAAATGAATTGAATTAAAAAAGAACGTTTTATAAAATGAGAGACCAGTTATTAAAAGATGTTCAACTCGTTTAACAACATAAATTATTTATCATGTATCCGCCGACTTCAAAGATAAGCTTTCAGCGTTCCTTAAATAAAACATGCCCTGAAGAATCTTAAGGGATCAAGAAAATCAAGCTTGCAGCCGCTGTTAAAGCTGGCGAGATAGGGAGCCATGTAATTCCCCGTGGAATGAGAAGGGTGAAAGTTGCTTCCTGAAACCATTCGACGGAGGATCTTTATTTAAATTTTAAAGCTCTTTACTATCTGTATACTTTTGTATCAGTCTTCGTCTTCGAGGTAGAATAAAATCAAATTTTTTTTTTATTTCTTTTCCTTTCCACCTTTTTCTTTTTTTTTTTTTGTTGTTGTTGTTACGCAATATCTGATATTCGCTCCGTTCTTTCTGAATGAAAGTTAAACAACCGCCCATAGGAAACATAGTGCGTGAAAATACCAGGAGAAACATTATCATCTAGATAGGATGTCGATCGCGAACGAAATAATACAGCCAACTCATTATCGATACAATTTAGAATTCTATATTCGCGGAGTATTTTTTAATGTTTTGGAGTAGCGCATGAATTCGCGCGGTAACAAAACTTGGTACAACGCGCGCGTGAACAGGAAGAGTACATAAGCTAAAAGGTAGCATATTTAATGCAGACGTTTGCATGATAAATTAAAAGCCTGGGATAGTTATGACTTCTGAATAATGTAATAGAAAAATATAGTTGCTTGTGAAAAAGTAGATGTTATAAAAAAATATACAAATTTTTATGGGAAGAACTGGACCCAAATAAATGTTGGTACTAAATATTCTTCGTCTACATTCGACACATAACTAAAATCTCTGCTTTATCAGTTTGCATTACAAAGTGTCTCATATAATGTTATACATTGTTCGTGTTTAAACGTTAATACACTCCATTCTCATACTTCCCTCCTTTTTTGTCGCGAATGTTGAATTATGCTCGGGTCGTCTCGAACTTCATGAAGAATGTGATGGCAGGAAAGTTCGAGGTCTCTGGGTGTATTGTTACGAGGTTTAAGTTAAAGTGAAGCACTCCCATCCCATGGAGGCATTATCAGAAGCGCGAGGGTTCCTATGGAATACCATTCGTTGTGGCGGAATTACTTTTTTATTGGAGGAACTCCGCAGGTCTAAGCGTGGTAAAGCCTGCATGACTTATTTTCTGAGATTTAACATGTCGAAAAAAAACAGTCGGATTAATCATGGTAAATGTATATCCTGGAATTTAAGTAATTCGACGTTCAACTGAGGAATAACGACAATCAACATTTACGAAACTCTGTTTTGGATATTATTACATTAAATACGCTTAATTCGTTTATTGATACTTAACATGTTTGCAGTACGAACTATTTTAGTGAATTATTTGATATGATTTTAATTATTCGATACAGTTAACTATTCTGATATATTCGATTATAATCTTGCATTATAGGCGTTACGTTATTGATAATATTATTAATGTACCTATATATATGGTAAAACATTCATATAAATCTAAAACGCGAAAATCACATTCGGAATATCACAATGAGTTGTTGATAATTGAGAATTATTTTAAGATTTTAAAAATTTAACAAAATTATAAACATATAGCTTGTATATATACATATATATAACAATTAATATATATATTAATATATATTGTAATTTTTACAAAATAAATTTCTATTGTTTTAGTAATAACTCAGTTAAGCAGCTAATGGAGCGAAATACAAAGAAACATTCATAATTACAAAAAAACAAAGTTCAACGGGAAATATTGCAAAACGAATCTGTATTCCATATCACTTACGTTGCTTTTCAATCAGCATCGATCCATGCTGCAAATGAATACAGAAGTTTTCTCTCCGCTTTCCTAACTCGTAAATACGCTTTAAAAGACCCGATTAACCCAAATTCAACATTTCGATTTCCGTTCAGGTACCTTATCGATTATTGCAACTATCCCCACTTTTTAGAAATTATAAGGTTATTTTATGGAGCTTCGTGCATTTTTTGTATGAATTTTATTTTGAAGAATACATACAAAGGAATGAACTGAAACATACATATACCTACTGATATATACGATATAAATTTCTGATGTTGCAACTTCGTTTATTCGAATTTCAAAAAGTTCTTTTACGTCGATATTGTACGTATATGAAAATTATAAGGCGTGCAAGAAATATTTTGACAATTGTTTGAAACTGATAGATAATACTCCCGCTTGACATTTTAACTAATTTTTGGCTTCGATTATAGCCTTACGACTACGCTTTAAAAATAGTACAATTCTTTTTTTAGGTTGGAAAACAAACGAAAGTACAAAATAAATAGGTAACGTGTAATATTTAAAAACGCAATCGTTTGTCGCAGCTGCAGCGTATCGATGTTTCACATTCATTCGATGAACGCTGCTTATGAAATAAATGTTCGATTTCACGTCAGTAAAGTTAATACGCTGTTACGACACGTAACAGATTCCACCATTAGAAACAACAATCCATCACGGTGTTGTAAAGCAGCAAAAAATGGCTCGCTTCCCTTTTGTTCCTTTAATTCAAGGAACTTTATCGAATTTCCATAAAATATCACCGGCATCCGTCTTCATTCTTTTTCGTGGAGAACCAGGGCCGTATTCAACATGAGAATGCGGTCGAAACGTTGACGCACATTTTCAACCGCGGCACCGCCGTTGTTCGAGCCCGTTGTCTTTAATCGAGCATCTTGACGCTAATTTGCTCTTAATTGCTCGACGCCCGCGGCGCGTAGATCAAAACTTAATGGGAGAGTCGAGAGAGAAAGAGAGGAAGAAAGCGAGCGCGAGCTTGATGAATGAAAAAAGAAAAGTTACAGTAAGGAGGGCAAGTCGGGGTAAGAAACAGTTTGAAAACGAAAAAGATATACGGGCAAAATCAAGTTTTCCCTCAGAAAAAAATTAGACAGTTAGATAGTTAATTTATCGTAATGAGTTACATTTTACATTTTTTGTAGAGGTTTATAACTAGAGGATATTTAAAGTAGGGTATTCTTGAAATATACTTCTACAGTAGAAAGATTTAAATTATCTATCATATGATACGAAAATATTAAATAATGTCATGAAAATGTTTGTCTTCTCGTTGATAAAAAGCTAAATTTATTTATTCAGAAAATAGGTAACAGACGATTCCGACAGAACATTTAATTATTCAACAATTCCCGATATTTAATTAGACAGACGATCCTGGTTTATTTACTGTGGATATCTGATACGTTATTTGTGGTCGTATCATAATAAACTTATTTAAAGGTATGAAATATAAAAAGCTTCCAATCGTTAAAAAAAGAGTTTCATTGATCCTGTAACCGCTTTGTTCCCGTCTCATAAGAGCGTGATCGAGTCGGGGAGCGCTTAGACGCGTGTTCGACAAACTCAAGCCAAGATTTATAGACGTGGACTGGTTATCGATCGCGAACTCCTGCTTGTATCGCTAGTAATTGGAACATTTATGAGCCAATCAATCACTTTTCTCGTTGCAGTCCCCCCTATGCTGTGGATACCGCACCAATTGGTTGGTGCACCCTCGGACCATACGGTTACACTGGAATGCCACACAGAGGCTCATCCGACTTCTTTGAATTACTGGACCAGGGAGGATGGCCTGATGATTCAGGGGAGCAAGAAGTACAAGACTACTTCGACGCCGGAGAAACCCTCGTACAAGACGCATATGACGCTTACGATATACGATTTGCAGGTAAGAACAGATTTCATTGTTCATCTTTTGTATCGACATTTCGGTATCCGTAAATAGTAAAATAATTTCGAAAAATAGTTGACAAAAATTCTTCGATAAATAAATATGATAAATAGTCAAATTTGTATCAACTATACTATACCGTAAAGGAATCAAGCTTAAACTCCATACTTTAGTACACGAGGAACGTTCGTTAATAATTAAGTAAAGTAGTTCACGCAGCAGACAAGACTTATTAGCCATGCAAATGTTCTTACGGTAACATTTATTAATCATGATTTGCGAATAAATCATTATGACATTTCATGAATAAGCTACACTTATTTACTCACATTATTTATGTGGGTTCAGGAAGTCTGTGGTAATATAATGTTAAAGGAGGAAGAGGAAAAGAAAATTGAAGGAACAAGAAAAAGAAGATACTTTATCCAAATTAGATTCGTCATTGAAGTTATCTGTCAGTATATCTATTTCATAGTTAGATGCCAGGTATGGACCAAGTTAGAAAACGTACTAGTATAAAAGCGACGGCAATTGAAAATTTTTGGAAAACTGCGACATTGTCGCACATTTAATAAATTGATTACCAACACATATTCTAAAAAATATAGGTAATGTATTTTTCGATAAAATTTTACAAAAATTAATAATACGACACCAATTAATTTATTGGAAATACAGAAAGATATTACGAAAATTTGATGAAATAAAACCATAATGGCAGAAGTTTCGTTAGATACATGCGGATCATTAGCTTTGTTCATATTCTTGGACCGACTACTATTCTGTATAATAAAATGAATGAGAGCCAGAGATGGAATACTGTTCCCCATTATTTCCATTACTTCTGTTATTATTATTTTTCTACTTTACTAAAAAATATGGAATAATTCTTCCAATTAGTCTGGTTCTCTGATAAACAATTATACTTTTTGATTATTATAAATATACTTTTAATGAAATATCACAGCGTCAAAATTAATACAGTAACACATAAACACAGCATTTCATAGAAATTCTATTTTCTCGGGTAATCGTTTCAATCTCCATTCATCGCGTCCCGTCAAAGAATCGAGGAAGCAAAAGCGAATGCTCACCGATTGTTGAACTTCAGCCGATGTCTTTTAATTATTTTAATATCGTTTTCTCGTCGATGGATCGGAAGCGAATCGTTACTCTTCGATGAAACAAAAATCCCAATGTATCGACGCGAAAAATTACCGATTGAATTGCAACATCTGGCAAAGACAATTCGTTTGTCGTGTTCGCTGAAACATGTCTCGAAGCGACGCGTCGAAAATCGTTTTCCAAGGTTGAAATAAAATCATCTCTTGAACGATGAATTCATCGAAACAAAATTTATTTCTCGAGTAAGAATAAAGATAATTTAACGGGACTAAAAATATAAAGTAACGATTTTAAATAGAAATCGCGTATCGATTATTCTAAAATTGTGCATAAAGGTATAGGCTGAAATCGATCATCATTAATATTATTGAGATATAACTCGACGATGAACAAAATATTCCCTGCTAATTTTGCGTCTTTTTATTTTAGTGCAATTAGGTAGGTACGTATATCACATGGCAGGTTGGTTCTTTCTTTTTGGGTGTTTGTTCGTTTGTTTGCGATACAAATATTCTTCTATTCTCCGGTGTTCCCTGAATTAAGAATTCCTATTTTTCCGTTTTTTCTTAAATAACATGGAACAAAGATCGTGTGGTCTTTTTCCCTTGTTAAGTAATTTCTTGCCGTATTTTTTCTCGCACCGGTTGGTTATTCATGTATAATAAACAGCCGAGAAATCGATATTTTTCTTGCAAGAACATCTTAATTTTCATAGCCTATTAAATGTAATTATTGTTATTATTAGCCATCGTTATTAACTTTTTATATTTTTTGAGAATCGTGTTTCGAGAGCTATTTACACGAGTCATTTGTTTAACAAAGATATGCAATTCTTTTGCGAAAATATAGTTGCACTACAAATGTGTTCACGAAAAAAAATACATAAAAAGTTTTCCTTCGTCACATCCTCAGCCAAGCAAAAAATACTTCCCTTGTTACATATACAGAGTATTAAAAAATAAATGTGTAAAACTTCATGGAAGTACTGACTGGAAGGAGTAAAAGACATTTAATCAACACGAAACTTAAAATTAATTTTTTCGAAACAATTTTTTTATAATGATGACGAAACTTTCAGTACCGCGATGCCTCTTTTGCAAAAACGAGCAGAAATTTTCAAGATTGTCTTTTTGTGAAATACTCTGAAGATTGGCTTCGATTCCAGAGGAAAATGCTCACCTACGGAACTCTGCCTTTAGTCGGCATGAAGAGCCGCGAAGCCAACAGGTGATATTTGAAAAGTTTCGTGATATCTCACGAAATTTATTCCTAGATTATTTTCGTACATGTAGAGGATATCCTTAAGATAATCGTGTAAAAGAGAAATTTCTTCATGTCATCAGAATGACAGAATATAATATGTTCTTCTTCCTTCTTCTTCCTATCATTTTTTATCTTCTTTGTTGCATTTTAAGAGCATCGTCAAACATTTTTATCTAATTCTAACACTTTTATCCTACTTCTATACTTGCACAAAAATCTGACTTATCAAACGTCGCAAAACATCATTGTGCATAAGGTAAGCACAACATAAGAAAAATGAAAATGCGAGCAAATATAATCGGATCGATTGATATATTCATCTAACATACATTTCTTACCTCTATCGTTCGTTTTCACATAACATTTTTTCGGATTTTGTCAAATAACTGACTATTGTGTAAACACAACTTTGGTTAAAAGCCAACTCTGATCGACGCTTGATTCTGACGTTGTTACTATTCTGTTTTTCAGGAGGAGGATTACGGTAGCTACAAGTGCGTCGCGAAAAATCCACGTGGAGAGACCGACGGCACAATTCGTTTGTACAGTAAGTGTCGTTTGTTTACTCGCATTTTAAAATATCCCGCGGGAACGTTTGTCGAGCTAATGACGGATCGTTGCGGTGAGCATACCAGTGGTTCGCAAACAAGATACAATTTTGTCGGCTCTCCGTGTAAAGAATTTTTAGGTTATCTCTGCTATTTCGTATACCAAATAATCCTAATTAAATATTATTTATTTAGCCTACTTCCTCGTATAGCAATTTTTAAATTTCCTTCTTTTCGTAATTAAAGCGTTTTATTCCTTGACATATAGCCAAATTTTGCTTTCTTCATTAGAACAATTACACCGTATATTTGTTGATATCATTTCGTTCATCGAATTTCAAACGAGTACCTCATACTTTTGATCCAAATACATGATTGATATTTAACTTCTTATAAAAGTTATTTCCATAAATTGCTGAATGTTTAAATGTGGTCTGTAAAATTTCGTGCTGTATCATATTGGAGATTGTAAAGTGCAAAGGGATAACAAAAATTGAGAAGCACTGGTGTACAGTCGTTCTGCAAGGTGTTTACAAAGTAGACGAAGACGAGACGAGAGGAGACATACTATTTACAGAGACACGCTGAGCGATTGGTTGCAGAACGTCCCTCGGTCAAAACGTTCGGTCCTAAATCGGATTTCACTAATTCGGGTTTCCTCGGCAAATATATACACGCAATTAATTAACCACCCTAGAAACCTCGAGGATCGCTTTTGCGGCGACCTATTAATCCGTGATTAAATCGTTCGCGAAATCACGCGGAAGCACCACTATTCTTGACTACCGCACAGTTACACCATTAGATTTGAGATACCGAATGATTACAACTGATTTTCGTGATCGAGAAACTTTATTTAGAACCGCTTTTAATAGAAAAATCAATTTTCCCAAAAAACACTATTTTTTTTAAAGAAAGTTCATATTTTCTTATTAGCGATTGAATACGTAAATGTAAATTATCGTGGAACATTTGAATAAATAGGTATATTAAATACCAAATTGAGCAAAGCAATTTGGAAGACAACGGGGAATTAGAGACAAAACACTGATATTACAAAACCTAGCAAAACTTGTCACGAAATCCTTACTTTTCTATTTATTTACCGTTGCACTGTCTAGCACTGGAATTAGGTAATCATCATCGGAAATTGTGGAAATAGTGTATCTTCAATTTTACCGCGCAGCTTCTTCTGAAATGGCGCGTATATCTCGCCTAATATATGCATATGACATAAAGAGCCGATGGAGAAATGGGCAGTCGCTGTGCAAACGTGAACGCCACGTACGAACACGTGCGCTCGGAAGGATGATTTCGGTGTGTTCAACCGGTATCTCCAGCGAGAGGGGGTGAGAAAGAGCGAGGAGGCCGCTTTCCATTAGTATGCATCGGTTTTTCGCATTAGCGACATTCAAATGAAGCGAACGTTTAGCATAAAAGGCTACCGGCAAGAAAAAGGCTGCCAGTGATCCCTGCAGGCGATTACCTCTGTCCAACCGGATGAAAGCGGTCCGGATTCGTGGAAATCCGTGGCTGCGTAGTTAGTTCCTCTCGTGAACCCACGAGCTTGTCCATCAAACATTTCCAACGTGCCCACAAAGATGTGAAAGGAAGGTGTACAATTTCGACAAAGTTAAAGGGAATTTCATCTTTCGTCACCTACTCGTTTTATAGTTATTGCTAAACCTCGTCGATTGTTTCATAAATTTTAGATTCACATATTTTTAGTTTACAGATTATTTTAAGTATTACTCATTTCCTAACATACCAAGCATATTCAAACAATCGGGATATCAGTTTCTCTAGTTTCCTGTTACAAAACAGACGAGTTCGTCTTTTTCGCTTGGCTGCGGGGCTAATAATGACCGCGACCTAATTATTGCAACAGCCACAAGCCTACAATATACAAAGGTCAATAGGAAACTGATCAATATATCGGTAACAACAATAATCCATCCGGTGAACTAGCTAATGTTATTTGAATATGAACAACAGCAATATTAAGTGCCATTTGATCAGGGAAGGCGTATATGCGTTCAGTCTTTGACCATAGATCTCTATGTTAGCATCGCCAACTATATGTATTCCAAGTGGTCGACTCGACACAATATAGGTGTAGTTGTAATTTTGAATTATTGTGTTATGTGATAGAAGGGACGCTGAAATTAGCTCGCCGTTGAAAACCACGTCGAACAATCGAATGCGTTATAGGACCATGTTCGAGAATCGTCACTGATTATTAGCAGTTATTGGACGCACAAGCTTAGTTGATTAAATATCGTAGAAAGGCCATTAGGGACACTCGTACGTATAATCTAATAACGTAGGTATATCAGAACAATGATATCGATATTCTGTAACACTCGCTGTTAATCACTTTAACGTCTAAATAGGATTTCTAGAACAATATCATATTCAAAATAAACAGTAGGAAAAGATGCCGTGCTTCGAATCTTATATTTCAAGCCATTGCATTAAATTTAGATATATCGTTGCCTTCTACCCTGTCTAAAGAGTCGATATTTTTAAATATATGGCATAGTTGACCCATAAAATGTATCGCAAGTTTCATTATAATAGAGAGATATAAACAGAAAGTAGAAGACAACTAAAAATAGTAAAAAGAAGAATTAAATGAACCACATTCCGATCACTGAAAGAATTAAGTTAGACCATCTGACAGCACAACGCCTGACCGGTGTTAGACCAACATCGACATATTCACAAGTATTGTCCATTTAACGGTACAGTACTAATACAACAACGTTCAGCTGTCCACGCATCGGCAGCGCGTGAGTCCATATTCCCAATATTCCCCACATTAATAAAAATCTCGAAATTTACAATCCAAGAATTGACTATAATAGCATTGTTACTTGATAAGCAAGAAGATGACAGAAAACGGAAGTTAGTAGAAAAGTTTGAAATTAAGAAAAGACGAAGGTAAATTTCATGTACTATATAAAAAAAGTTAATTAGAGATGGACAGAAGTTCCATCAGTACTTTCGAATGTCAACTACCCGATATCAGATATTTTTAAAAAGTGTAGAAAATTTTATACACGAACGAAATACAAAATTTAGAGAAGCAATAACGCCCATTGAAAAACTGACAGTATATTCAAGATAAATGCAAGACTATAAAATTTTATTTATAGTATACAAATTTTATAGATTTTAAAATAGAAATATTACTTTCTTTATCTTTTTCTACTCGGTGTTTATCTATCTCTCCTAATTCAATATGTGATACTGTTAAAACAATTTGTTTCTTTGTTATTGCTCTAATTCGAGATGATAGCTTTTTTACAGTTGCTGCTATACTTAAAAAAATGTATCTATTTCATCTAAACCACTATTTTTTCCCTTTTTCCTTCTAGTAGATATTGCATTAAAATTGCTGATGTCGAATCTGAATTATTTTTTTTATGTTTTATTTTATCAATTTTGTTTGATCCATCCTATTCGTCACCAACGCAGTATCAGCAGTGAATTCTCAGTTGTCAACGTGCGAGCAGCATACAAATGGCATACGATCGTTACATGACCAGCAAAACATCCATGTTACTATCGATAAGGAAAAGTGTCGATACTGTGCTGTTGTCGTTAGGCGAACGCACTTCTATTAAAATACATATGTTAAATAATGTGAATATGTCGATATTGAATTTCATGCCGTTCAGCCGTTATGATATTAGACGGGCTATGTACTTTAAAGCGAAAGTTCAGGTAAAGTTTTAATGTCGAATATTAAACATCGGATGCGCAGCTAAGTTGCACAGGTTTCTGAGAGTGTAATTTGGCAGCTATATAAAGCAGAGGTAATCAAAATAAAATTTTGGAAAAAAAGAGAATAAGAGATACGTTTGTAGCGAAACCTTAATTTCGTCCGAGTGGAGTGTGAATGCATACGCAAAAATAACTTTGCTAGATAAAAAGAAAAAGAAGAAAGGAGCTAAAGGAGGAGGAAATAAAACAAGCGTAAATATAGCGTCGGTATATACCAGAGAGAAATTCTCAGCGTGTTCCTGGAAATTGCTTTCTAATTGGCGAGATTTTTAAAAGTCACACAATAGCTCAGAGAGTTTTTGCCCTCTGGATACGAATATTACTTACTAATTGGCCGCTTTCACGAAACAAAGGGGTATAAAGGTATTATTCCTTGGGGTTGGCAAACACCACACCAACCTGTTCGTAATTATTCAGACTTAGTTGTCTAAATTCTTCCCTTGATTATTCTGTCGTGTTTTCATTTGGTTCCGTCTCACGCTTATAATTCGGAGTATCTTTTCATGCAATAAAGTTCAATTTTGCCTTTTATTGTTTTCCCTTTGCATTATCCTCTCTTTCAGTGGCGATTATATGCGAAGTATAATGCTTAGGAAACGACAACGCATAAAGAATATTAATATCCATATTACCAATTTTTTAATAGACTATCCGCAACGTCATTCTTACGAAGAAATTGTAATTGACGTATCGGATTACTATAACAAATTTCCATTCGTTAAAAAATTCCAAGTTAGTACATATAAAATATATATTTATAAAATTTATTAAATTCTTAATTGAAAATCACGAATAGAGAAAAAGAAGAAGAATGATAACGGAAACAATAATATCTTTTCGTACTTTACTACTCCGACAAGACCTTTCGTCTATCTTCCGCGGTCTTGTCCTTCACGAGGAGATCGATCTTCCTTCTTGAAACATCGGCCACAAAGAGATACCGAGACTCGAAAGGAATTCGAATTCATTCCGTTTGTGGTAGAGGGAGTAAAATAACCTTGCCGGAACCCATGGGAGTCCCAAAAGGGGTGCTCGTTTCCCCGCGAACGTTGAACGAGGACAGGTCGAACAGGTTTCAAACGAGTAGAATGAAGGCAGACGTAAGAACAACACCGACACATACGATGGTAAATACATCTAAGGAAAAAGACTGTAAAATGGAAGGAAACGAAAGAAGGAAAAACGATTGAAAGTAAAGGAAATCAACGAA